CGGTGGGACATCACAGCAATAACCTCCATGGCTACACCAAAGCATCCCGGTGGGACATCACAGCAAGGCCTGTACCACTGAATGACAAAAGTAAGGGAATTGACTTGAAGGCATAATCTTGCGCATGTCCAAATAAATAAATATAATAAATTGTGATTGCCATGCCTATTTAATCAGCATAATGGCCATGAATTAACTAGACCCAATTTCCCACATACATCTTTCATCTTGGGATACATATGCAAATATAATTGTTTGATGATTCGGTTAAAACAAATCCAAATCAAGCATTTCTGCAATTCCAGAGGAAGGTATCATTTGTATACAGATGGACTTGGTTCATACATGAGACGTGGCACCTTAATGCATGTCATAATGTTTTTCAGATTGGATTTGAAATGGCTGACTGGTGGCTATTTTGTTTTGATAAATGCAGTTCTTGATCCATGTCTCTCATATGTTCTTATATTTTTTTTATACTTGATAACTCACAGAGAGATATGTTATGTTGTTATTTTTTGTAAATAATGTCTTTTATTTGGAAAACAGCAATCCTATGAAGAAGCTGAAAAAGGATTTGATGACAGCGTGAGCAAAGAACGTGGTGTGAACAGAGATGACAGAGCACATGGATCATTGCTGATTATTAATGAATTAGTAAGAAACAGCAGCATGGAAGGACAGGTAAATATGATGTCATATCCTGTATGCCAATGCATTGTTGTTGCTAGGATACCAATCATGTGATGGTGTTTATGTGAAAGGTCAGGGGTTATGTTTCAGTAGTCATATTGGTATGTACAGTTTTGTTTTACACCAGCTTTCATTGTCTGCGATCATTGTTTTTATACAAAGTTTGCAAAATTCTCATATAACATGAGAAATGTTTTTTATTTGAGCACATTGGCACAAATAACATAGTTGATTCTTATCTTAGTATTCAGATAATTCATAATGCAGTTTTGATGATTCGTTAAAATAGAAATTTTGTTTAAATAAAAAATTATAGGATTATAAGAAACACAGAAAACTCACCATTCCATCATTTTAATTGTCTTTTATGTTACAGAGATTAAGACAAGAAATGGAAGAAATTTCACAACAACAAACAATGCATGATAGATCCTTTCGAGTAAGTAAATACAGTTTTAGTTTTTTCTGCCAAAAATGTTATGCAGCATTGTGTGTGTTTTTATGTATATTTCCTTGTTTTGTTTTCATTGGTTACACAGATCATGGTCAATATTTTTGTCAAATATTATACATTATATATTATTTTGTAAGGTGTTCAAGAATACTGATAAGATTATTTAGAATAATGTATTGAAAATATCAAAATAAGGATAATTAGCTATTTCTTTTAGTCCTTTGATTTTTCTTTGCATTGTATTCTTTTCTATAATGCAGGGTCTTGGTCACTTGGGTGGTAAGTCCAAGCATCATCAACATCATCAACACCAGCAGATGATCACTATATTTCACAGTTTTCAACCTCAAAGGCCATCACTAAGTCCCATCAGCATCTCTGCTACAGCTGTGTCTCCTCAGAAACCTGCCTATGTTGAAAGCAGATACTGTAGAGAACTAATGGAAGAAAAATTTGATGAAGTAAGTGAAATATTTGCAGTATCCTATTTCATATAACTATTATAATTTCAACCTGAAAAATAGTAAAGTACACATAGGATAATAAAGGATACAAGAAAATTTATTTAGACTTGACTTTGTGGATTTTCCATGGAAGCCTAATCTAGGAGCCATTTTGAATTGAAATTTTGTCAAAATATATGCAACATACAACTGAGGTTTACAATTCAAAAAAATAGTCTGGACACCCATAGCAGGTTTTAGACTTTCAGTCCGTAGGGAATAACGTTGCAAAGTTTCAGAAATGTCATGTGTTGAATATACCAGGGATATTGATGAATACTGAATTTATAAGAATAAGCCTATCAGAAACTAATTAGGCTGTTTTGTTGCAAATATTGGAAGTAATCCGATTCTTCTAACACACACACAATAACAAAATAAACTATGAAATTTTTGATGAATGTATTTTATGATAGTAATATGTAATGTAATATTATCATGTAATATTATCATCAGACAACAATATTGCTGGAAACAAGATTTTATGAAAATCATCATTCTTACAAATACTCTTACATGATGAATTGTAGAAGACAGTTTACTCTTACTACCATTGTTTGCTCAAGAACTCTTTAATAAAGTTAACTGTCAGACCACGTATTAAATCCAACAAACTTTTAGTTTATTGAGTTAATTTTATTTGCAAAGAAAAGCTGAAAATACATTGGAAGTGAATTATTTGTTTAAAAAATTTGTAATGTTGATTGTCAACATTGATGTTCAGCAATTCAATTTGTGAATTATTTGTTCTGTGTGATGAATATTGCACACACAAGAGGTATTGTCATACCTATGTGTGTGTGTGTGTGTGTGTGTGTAATACCTTGTTTCACTGTTATCTCAAATGCTATTGGTTTGATTAGACTGAAACTAGATACGTAGCTTTCATAATATGAACACCAAACCTTTTTGGTATAAATCTGTGTGTATTATTTTAATGATTAATTAATCATCATCAAATTTAAATATACTGTAAAATCTGTATTAAAAGCCGCGCCTCTATTAAAATGGTACAATGCAAAAGAAATGGTGAATATGAGAAATGGGGACTTTTTGGGTCACAATTGTTCAAAAAGTATGGGTTCTATTAGGAATGCGGCTTCTATTACAGATTTTGCAGTGTATGAATACTTTTGAGTGAATTAATATCTGACAATTTTGAAATTAAGGTATACCCATCAATTTGCTAATTAACTGTTTCTTGCATATTTGTTATTTATTAGAACAATAGTTTTCGTAGTTGCCTCAAATCTTGTCTGCATACTGTGTGTTTGGTTGAATGTCTAGTTTGTCATTAATCTGGCCTTATTAATAAGCTAATTTGCATACTCATCAACTATTTTTAATATGTTTTGTTTATATTTCAAAAGTTTGGATTGAACTGGCACATGATTGTTTGGAATTAATCTATGCTTAATGTAGCAAATTTGCATAATTATTTGGCTTAATCATGTTCTTTATACACCTTTACCCAAATTTACTCAAACATTTCAAGTTTGTACATAATTGTGAGCATAATTTGCATAATAATATGTCGAATCCTTCGATTTTTAGCTCCGCTATCGACTTTGTCGAGCGGAGCTAATATGAGTGATTGTCCGTCGTTGTGTCAATGTTTTACTTTTTCGACTTCTTCTTGAAAACTACAAGCCTGAATGCTTTGATATTTGGTGTATATGTACCTTGGGTAGACCTCTCTCAGATTTGTTCATTTCATGATCATATCTTCAATTCTCTAATTTTGGTGAGTATTTTTGTCATTTTTGGTAAAAAGTGATATTTTCGACTTCTTGTTAAAAACTGCAAGTCCAATTGCTTTGATATTACATATATAAGTACTACATGTGGACCTCTCTTAGATTTGTTCATTTTGTTATGATATTTTTAATTCTCTAATTTGGGTGAATATTTTTGTAATTTTTGGTAAAAAGTGATATTTTCAACTTCTTGTTAAAAACCGCAAGTCCAATTGCTTCGATATTACATATATAGGTACTACATGTGGACCTCTCTCAGATTTGTTCATTTTGTAATGATATCTTTAATTCTCTAATTTTGGTGAATATTTTTGTCATTTTTGGTAAAAGTGATATTTTCGACTTCTTGTTAAAAACCACAAGTCCAATTGCTTCGATATTACATATATAGGTACTACATGTGGACCACTCTCAAATTTGTTCATTTTGTAATGATATCGTCAATTCTCAAATTTTGGTGAATATTTTTGTCATTTTTGGTAAAAAGTGATATTTTCGACTTCTTGTTAAAAACCGCAAGTCCAATTGCTTTGATCTTATGACATATATAGGTACTACATGTGGACCTCTCTCAGATTTGTTCATTTTGTAATGATATCTTTAGTTATCTAATTTTGGTGAATAGTTTTGTCATTTTTGGTAAAAAGTGATATTTTTGAATTCTCGTTGAAAACAGCAAGTCCCATTGCATTGATACTATACATATTGTTCATTTTCTAATGATATCTTCTGTTCTTTAATTGAAATGTGCATTGCTAACAGCGGAGCTATCTCAGCCGAGAGGCTGCTTGTTTCAATTGAGATTTGAAATTCCTTTTTGATTTTTTCTCTCTATTTACACTCCCAGTTTGTATGGATAACAATTAAAAATAATCAGCATGTACAAATTATAAATAATAAATTGTATTTGAATATTTCTATTATTTATGTCTTAGTTCTCGTTTGAAAGAAGTTTGAAATAGGGACTTAGAATCTGTTTCTGTCTTTCCATTCGTAGTCATATTTCAGAACCTTCCGGACCAAAGTTGTTCATTCTTTGTGCCAAGTACTTTATGTGGGTCATATACACATATAGTGGTTTTAGTGATTCAATCCAAGATGGCCAACAGGCAGCCATTTTGTTTTTTGAAAATGTGGTATCAAATTTTATGTTATTCACTTGTTTGACTTTGTTCTCTATAAATTTTAAAGTACCCTAACTTTCGGCCACGAAAACATTGTTAGAAAGAGTGTCATTGAGTAACACAATACAAAATAAGTTTTACATGCTGAGATACTGGAGATATGTACTTTCCTTGCAATTGAATACAAAATGGCACATGAGAAATAACAAATAGAAATTGAAGGTTTGTGACCATATATAAGATTTAGAAGTCATTTGGTAAATCTGATTTTTGTTGATACTAGTCAACACCCTCAATTACTAACCATAAACTACAAATTCATGCAGAAACAATTGCAACAAGGACTGGAATTAACAATTGAGATACTTAACTGGGACTATGATGTCATCAGCAATAACCAGTGATGTCATCAGCAATAACCAGTGATGTCATCAGCAATAACCAGTGATGTCATCAGCAATAACCAGTGATGTCATCAGCAGTAACATATGATGTCATAAGCAATAACCAAAAATGTCATCAATAACCTATGATTTCATCCACAATAACCTATGTCACCAACAATAACCTATGTCACCAACAATAACCTATGATGTCATCAAAAATAACCTGTGATGTCACCAACAATAGCCTATGTCACCAACAATAACCTATGATGTCACCAACAATAACCTATGTCACCAACAATAACCTATGATGTCATTAAAAATAACCTGTGATGTCACCAACAATAACCTTAGTATGATGTCATCAACAATAACCTATGATGTCATTAACAATAACCTATTTGTTTAATTTTCTTCTCAGATTTGTTGTCAGGTATTGAAATACAGGAGCAGTAGAAGTCCATTGATCCAGCAGATGTTATTGACAATGTTGCCACGGTTAGCTGCATTTCAACCTGTCAAATTTGTTAAAAAGTAAGTCTTCAGTTAATTATGTCATAAATCATTTTAATCGTGTAAACAAGATGAGTTGTTGGGTTGTTAAATTATTTCTGATATTCCTGATATGAAACATACACATCAACTGACCATAAATCTCTGCTGAAAGTCTTCACATATAACGACATTATATACCCTTTACAATAGAAATGTTTTATATACCTATTCCATCACTATTCTGTGTGCATTGTTGTCAATATTTGATTCCAGTGAATTTTATTTACAGGTATCTCAATGACACCATGCAATATTTACTTGGTAGTTTGAAAAAGGTAATGTATAATAACACTTAAGTATCTCTCCTGTAACAAATTTCAGTCTTTTCACCAGAGTCATCTTCATCCTGCCTTGTTTGGAAAATAAGATATAATCACACAGTATTTTTAATGATGATATTTCTTAAGAAGATTCCTAAAAACATAAAGAGAGCAAATAAAACTCCCAAAAGAAGATTGATATGAATTCTAATGCATTCCTGATAAATGAGGATTAAATCAATTGTGCATATTGTAATTTATTTAATCAAAAAATATAATATTGTCATTAGATTGCGATTTCATGATTATGAATCAGTGTAATCAAAAAGAAACGTAATTGATTTGGAAGACAAAAAAAGTTGACAATGGTGGCAAAACATATCCCCACGTTGTCATACATGTATGATTCAATTTTCTCTATTTTTCATTGTCTGAATTGACTTAACAAAGATAGAATCGGTGTTCAGTTCACTTATGATTGTTGGATTGCTAAATATTTTTTTGATCAGCAGAAACTCCCTATTCCATTGTTTTAAAGATTACAACAGAAAATTCATTTTACAACTCATTTTTATCAGAAAATGTTTTTTGTGATGGCCAACTTTTCTGACTCAAAGTTATTTCTTTTTAATGAAACCATTTGCTGACTCTCTTTGTGGAAAGTTTTAATTTGAAGCTTGCGATGACATTTGAAGTTTTTTTTGGTTCACAGGAACGGGAAAGATCCAGTGCATTTCAAGCTGTTGGACTGTTGGCTGTTGCTGTAAAATCACAAATTGTACCACATTTACCAAAGATATTAGAAATTGTCAAGATTTCATTACCATCAAAAGATCTGCCTGCTAAGTAAGTGACACAGTCTAATAATAACCAATGAAATCTCATATGACCTGACTTCTGTCATGGCAACCCGTTGCTAAGTAACACAAGCTGTATTCACCATCTATGTCATTATATATTACTTCAGTCGACCTTTCCTGTGAGAACCTGCATTATGTGTGAAATTGAACATGACAAACAAAGGTCATATACTACGTTCACACAACAGCATTTTATCAGCTTGAGCCAGTAAAAATGGCCCTGTATACGTATTCAGCTCGAGCTAAACTCGGCTCCAATAAACCCTCAGGGTTGAACTCCGATAGGGTTTAGCCCCAACATGGCCCGACCGTGTATACGCATTGGGCCCAACTATCTGTAAAGATATGCTTGTGAACGTTGTTGCAATTGCAATTGAAGTCACATAAAAACATCAAAAAACACTAAAGTGTTTTAGTTGTATTTCCATGCTCAATAGTGTGCTGTACATGTTTGGTTAATGAAGTATCAATATAAGGGTATCTCAACATAATATTCCGTTCTCAAGGATTGGGATTTTAACATTGAGCTATAAAAAAAGAATTTCAAAATCAAATTGTTTGATTTTTTGTGGCAGATGTTTGGTCCATGCAATATGCAAGATTACGCAGAGAATGAAAAATTTGCTATTGAATTTTATATTTTACAATTTTGTGTCTTGAAAACAACAATAATTGTACATTAATGTTATTTTGAATCTGCCATCACGCATTCAGTTGAAATTTACAAGTTATTGCGTATTTGCAAGTGTGTTAGACCATTTTCATCTTGGGAAGTGTGCAGTTATTCAGAAATAACCACAAGAAATATTTTAACCTACTGAAAATAAATGCAAATAAAATTTTACATTAAGTTTTTCTTTTTTGATTCTCTCTTACACTATTTCACAGTGGGTGAATATTAAATTAAAAAAATGTGTTTTTTTTTTTCAGGAAACATAAAAACTTTGTTGTGGATCCGTCAGTGTTCACATGTGTCAGCATGCTGGCCAGGGCAGTAGGTCATGTGATTGCCAAGGATGTCAAGGAACTATTGGAGCCTATGCTAGCAGTAGGACTTAGGTATGTATAAAATGCTGCTGTGCCAATCCTGTTGTAGCTCTATAGTTCTTAGTTTTATGTCTTCTTCAAAAAACTTTGCACAACTGTCTGATGGAAAGCCTGTCATCCTGCTTGCATTAGCGTTGAATTTATATTTTCAACTTCTTCAAAACAGCAAGCCTGCTTGCTTTTATACTTGGTGTATATATGTACTTTGGATGGACTGATCTCAGATTGGTTAATTTTGTGATATCTTAAAATTTCTAATTTTGTCAGTTTTGGTAAAAATCTCTATTTTTGACTTCTTCTTGAAAATAGCTTGATTGCTTCAATATTTTATATTTCGATACCTAGAGTGGATCTTAGATTTGTTCATTTTGTGATATATTACCTTCAATTCTCTAATTTTAGTAAATATTTTCGTCATTTTTGGTAGGAATGGTTATTTTCGTCTTCTTCTTGGATATGGTTAGCAGAGACCAGATTTGTTCATTTTGTGATGATACCTTCAATTCTCTAATTTTAGTAAATCTTGTTGTAATTTTTTCTTAAAATGGCTAGCCCAATTGCTTTGGTATTTTATATGCGGAGACCTTTCTTTATTTTGTAACAATAAGTTTACTTTTCTAATTTTAGTGAATATTTTTTGTATTTTTTGCTATTTTCAATTGTACAGCAGAGCTATGTCTGCTGACAGGTGGCTTCTTTTCAATATTTATAATACTCAAACTTCATTGTATATGTTCATAAATACCTTTTTACTAAAATACCATTCTTATGATTACAATAAAGTGTTTCAATGTCATTTGCTTTGTGCAGTTGAATGTTACCGGTAGTTTTAAAATAAAAATGATGTGTTTCCCATGATGCAATTTTCTAATATTTCCTACCTTCAGTCCAGCACTCACAGCAGCTTTGAATGACTTGGCACATCAGATACCACAACTGAAGAAAGATGTACAGGATGGTTTACTGAAAATGTTATCATTGGTTTTAATGCATCAACCACTCAGGCATCCAGGGGCACCTAAAACACCCACAGTTGTTATCACCCCTACAAGTAAGTGTTCTTTGGTGCATTCAAAATTTATGTTGTACATTTGTATGTGTAGTAACATTTGTTTTTTTTAGATATTATTCAACAAAATATGATATGTTATTATCTATTTTTCAGTTACTATGCAGTGCAAGATCTGATTGCATTTTTGTTCATATTTATGCATAATAATTAGATAAATTTACATAAACTTATTGTATCTTGGAATGTATTATTGGTGACATAAATGTATTATGTGTTTACCCATAGGCTCCTATGCTAATTTGACTGATGTCACAGACACTACAAGTACTGTGTTAGCACTGAGGACACTGGGAAGTTTTGATTTTGAAGGACATTCCTTAACTCAGTTTGTACGACACTGTGCTGATCACTTCCTGAATAGTGAACATAAAGAGATCAGAATGGAAGCCGCCAGGACTTGTTCCAGTCTTCTTCATCCTTCCCTTCATGTTAGTTTTATCTATTTCTCAGTGACCTTTGACTCTTATCTGGTCCCTTCTTCATATATAACTCATTAAAACATGCCTAAAGTAAACACTGTGTTAGCAGAACACTTTTTTGAACAAGAAATTAAGAACTGTTTCACTAACTTCATTGTATCTGGTTCAATCATTCCTTGATTGGTTTACAAATCTTTTAAGATGAATTTAATGCAACCTGATTTATAGTTAAATCTATATGCCAAGTTGAAGAATAATATTACTTGATATTATATAAACATAAACATGATTATGATATAAAAATTTTTACTACCAGTCTAATATAATAATGTTATTTACAGATACTTGGAAATAATGTTTCACCTCCATCAAGTCCCACCAATACTCAGGTTGTGGCTGATGTGCTTGGTAAATTATTAGTTGTTGGAATTACAGATCAAGGTTGGTTATGAGTAATTATCTACAGCTGTCATAAGAAAATTTTTCAACATTACTTAGATCATATTTATCCAGTTAATCACCCAGGTGCCTTAATCTCTCAGATACATTAATTTTCTAAGTGGCTCAATCTACAAGTTGCCTGAATCTCCAAGGTGTCTAATTTTACAAGGAGCTTGCATCTCCCAGGTGCCTGAATCTTTCAGGTGCCGAATCTTCCAGGTGCTTGAATGTTCCAAGTGCCTGATCCATCTAGGTGTCTAGGTATCTGCATCTCCCAGGTACCTGCGTATCCCAGGTGCCCAAATCTGATACATCAAAAACTGCCAACAAACAAGCTGATCTTTGATTGATCAGAATGTTAGCATTCAGGCAGCCAATCAGGAACAATGTTGTAAGTAGCTGAATCTTTCAGGTGCCTGTATCTCCCAGGAACCTGAATCTTTCAGATGCCTGTATCTCCCAGGAACCTGAATCTTTCAGATGGCTGTATCTCCCAGGAGCCTGAATCTTTCAGATGCCTGTATCTCCCAGGAGCCTGAATCTTTCAGGTGCCTGTATCTTCCAGGAGCTTGGATATTTCAGATGCCTGTATCTCCCAGGAGACTGAATCTTCCAGATGCCTGTATCTCCCAGGAGACTGAATCTTCCAGATGCCTGTATCTCCCAGGAGACTGAATCTTTCAGGTGTCTGTATCTCCCAAGAGACTGAATCATTCAGGTGCCTGTATCTCCCAGGAGCCTGAATCTTTCAGATGCCTGTATCTCCCAGGAGCCTGAATCTTTCAGATGCCTGTATCTCCCAAAAGACTGAATCTTTCAGGTGCCCGTATCTCCCAGGAGCCTGAATATTTCAGATGCCCATATCTCCCAAGAGCCTGAATCTTTCAGATGCCCGTATCTCCCAGGAGACTGAATCTTTCAGATGCCTGTATCTCCAAGGAGCCTCAATCTTCTAGATGCCTGTATCTCCCAAGAGACTGAATCTTTCAGATGCCTGTATCTCCCAGGAGCATGAATCTTTCAGATGCCTGTATCTCTCAAGAGACTGAATCTTTCAGATGCCTGTATCTCCCAGGAGCCTGAATCTTTCAGATGCCTGTATCTCCCAGGAGCCTGAATCTTTCAGATGCCTGTATCTCCCAGGAGCCTGAATCTTTCAGATGCCTGTATTTCCCAATAGACTGAATCTTTCAGATGCCTGTATCTCCCAATAGACTGAATCTTTCAGATGCCTGTATCTCCCAGGAGCCTGAATCTTCCAGATGCCTGTATCTCCCAGATGCCTGTATCTCCCAGGAGACTGAATCTTTCAGATGCTCGTATCTCTCAGGAGCCTGAATCTTCCAGATGCCTGTATCTCCCAGGAGCCTGTATCTCCCAGGAGCCTGAATCTTCCAGATGCCTTAAAGTTTATCTTCCAGGAGCTTGAATCTTTCAGATGCCTGTATCTCCCAGGAGACTGAATCTTTCAGATGCCTGTAACTCCCAGGAGACTGAATCTTTCAAATGCCTGTATCCCCCAGGAGACGAGGTATGTAAATGTGTCGAAATGGACACAGTGCGAGTGGTTAGTGCTAGTAGCACTAATCCGAAAAACTACTAGATCTAGTGCTAAAATGGCACTAGATCTAGTGCAAAAACGGCACTAGATCTAGTGCTAAAATGTACATAGTGCGAGTGGCATTGATATTGCGTAGTCAACGACGTCAAGACATCCCGTGATTCTCTGAAAATAAATTAATATTTACGTAAAATTGTTGTATCTTTCATTCATTGGAAATGTGCTACAGTGGGAAAATTGAGAATGTCATTGTCCACGTTTGTCGTAATACTAATAGACCTTTGGAACAACGCGATCGGCCGGGAAACTAGCTGA